AATCCGAGAAGTAACTACAGGCACAGTAAAGTACTCCAGTGTGCAGGAGACTTTAGAGTTACATGCAAAACTGACTTTGAAATTTATGAAAAATCGACAGCACAAAGATAGCGACTGTGGTAAGAACGTTATTATTTTTTTGGGAAATTGACAATGTTTATTACCTAAAAATAGTGCAGCAAGATTAAAAAAGAATGAGCTGTTATTTTTATTTCCTACTAAATGGATTAGGACGCTTTTGGGACAAGTAAAAACTAGGGGCCCACAAATCTGAACGCTTACCAATCCCAACCTTGTTGTCTTCGCATAACGCAAACTTTTCTTTATAAAGGCAATCTTCTGTAAAGCTTTCAGCACTACATTCGCGATATTACGCACCATAGTAAAACTCACATCTGGGTGAAATATTCCTACCATTACTGATAATTAAGCAAATGCCATAATTCAAATTCCTGCGCAGCACATTTGCTGTAAAGGATTGTAAACTTGTCAGTCAACATTTGAATTTGAAACATATTAAACAGAAAACATTAACATTACATTAAACATCAAATAAAAACTTCTCTTGTCTATATATTGACAACAAATAAACCAATAAACAGAGTCGGACAATTTTCCAACAATAGCCTCTGCCACCTAACATCGATTACTTTGTTAAGTCACTGCAAATATTGAAGCAAAAATCTGAGATTTAGGCAGCAGTTCCGCGGTTATTATTCGTTGCCTCGAAAATGGCCTTCAAATAATACGAGGCATGTAATTTTACTTGAACATTAAACAGACACAGGATCATGAGGGCATTGAGCTACATTTGGAACCCATGGGCCTTCTCCGACACTCTCAACAAATTAAATGGGGCATGACAAGCCACTTGTGGACTAAATTAAAGCATTGTTTGCGGGAATTCAACCGGGTAAGTGCTCCCAAGCTTCTGCACAGTTTCATATTCGTCGGATTGTATTAGCCCGTCTGATACCCTTGCTGCATGTTTAAACACTTTAAAAATGCGCCACTTGGCTTACGCATGTGAAAGCAATGCAAAACCATCATAAATAGTAGCCTTAAGCGCAATTCTCACTTATCCTTGTGTTTGTACCAATTCAATTCCTTATTATGTCCACTATTAAGCACAGGAGTGCTTAAAATAGAATGTATAACTTTAAATCGGTTTGCTGAAGGAGCATAAGGCAAACGTAATTAAACTTACCAAGCCATAGAAAAAATCGGTGGTTAAGAAACGTCTACTTGCATTTTTGAAAGCATGCATCTAGGAACCAAAATTTACCGACTACTTTAAGCTTTATTATTCCGATGTGCCTTGGTCGACCTGTCCGAAATAACGTTAACCGGTAAGGCATTTCGATTGATCAATTCGTCCGAAATACATTATGCTGCACTATCTTAGGGTAGTGCCTACTTTAACATTGATTTATTCTTCAAGCTACATAAATTTTCAAGTGATTGAAACAGATCCTTTTAATGCACTTCTCCTCTCTGTATTGGAGGAGAATAAAGTGTGAGTTGAGCAAATTGTAGGCAATTTTACAGTTCCCCTATAATAAGGAACATAAACAACATGCCAAAAAACACATTGTAGTGTAGTAGATACGATTTTCTTTCAATTGAAGTGAAATTTGAATCCAAAAATAAAGGCACCTAAAGCCCCCTACTGCCAATTAATTTAGGCGAGCGCTTATAAACTATGTCCGAATGCAGAGCAAGATCGGTTTTCTTCTCAGTCGCCATAAACACCTTCTGTGTCAAGGTGTCATCATCAATTAGGCTTATTTCTCTGCGCACCTAAAATCGAAAGCGATATTGTTACTCCTAA